TAATTATGTTTAAAAGAAAGTGTGATTACATGAAAAGTGACAGATACATAAACAAATCAAAAGAAATTGGCTCCAGAGATTAAAAACCACAGTTATCTGGAGTTATATTTACATAGTAGATAGAGCAGAGGAAAGGCTAGTAAACTCAAAGACATATCAACAGATGGTTATAGAACCTATGTAAAATGAAGCATACAGAGACAGAAGACAAAACAGCCAGACATCAGTTGCTCATACCTGTAATCCTGGGTACTCAAGAGGCTGAGGTGTGAGGATCTCGTTTGAAGCCAGCCTGGGCAGGAAAGTCTGTAAGACTCCAATTAACCAGCAAAATTATGGACGTGGAGGTATAGTTTAAGTGGTAAAGCGCCAGCTTTGAATAAAAAAGCCAAGTGAGAGTATGAGAGTCTTGAGTTCAAGCCCCAGTACTGGCACAGAACAAACAAAAATGAAAGACTGAAAATAAACAAGGTGAGTGGCAGTGACCTGCAGGATAATACCAAAAAGCTTACAAAGCATGTAACTGGAATACCAGAGGAAAAGGGGGCACAGAAAGAAAAATGTGAGGGAATAATGGCCAAATTTATCCAAATTTGGTTAAGAGAAAAGAATAAGCTTGGATGCCTTGTCAGAAATTGTACATGCTAGAACAATGTAATAATGTCTTTAATGTGCTAAAAGAAAATGATTTCCAATATGGAAATCTATGCTTATCAGAAACAATTTTCAAAAATAAAGACAACGTAGCTATGTAGGAGACTGAGACCGAGGATTGAGGTATGAAGGCAATCCAGGCAGGAAAGTCCATGACTTCTTTTTTTTTTTTTTTTTGGCCAGTCATGGGGCTTGAACTCTGGGCCTGGGCGCTGTTCCTCAGCTCTTCAGCTCAAGGCAAGCGCTCTACCACTTGAGCTACAGCGCCACTTCCGGTTTTCTAGTGGTTTATTGGAGATAGGAGTCTCATGGTCTTTCCTGCCTGGGCTGGCTTTGAACCTCGATCCTCAGATCTCAGCTTCCTGAATAGCCAGGATTACAGGCGTGAGCCACCAGCGCTCAGCTCCATGAGACTCATCTCCAATTAACCACCAAAAAGCTGAAAGTGGAGTTGTGGCTCAAGTGATAGCAAAAGTACTCAGATTCAGTGCTCAGGCCCTGAGTTCAAGTCCCAGGATCATTAACACAAAAAAGAGGATACTTTCTGTTCATTTTTTAAAAGCCTTCTATTATGGAAAATGTTAACCATATAGGAGAAAAGAAGGAATGGAAAGAATAAAGGTCCAGGTATCCATTTCCCTCTTTTCATCTTCCATACAGAGTTCAGCAGGCAGGCATCCTATTATTCATCTGTTAATTAAGGAGTTCTTTGAAAAACAAACTGCCACATTTTGATTACACTTAAAAAAATTAACCATCCACTTGATATTAAATATCCAGTGAGTTCATAATTCACTAATTGTTACTTGGTTTAGGAATGTATTCATATTTTTATTTTATTATTAAACCATTGTACAAAGGGGTTACAATGTCATGTCAGGCTATGAGTAACAATGCTTCTTGGTCAATGTTACTTACCCTTTTTATTGCTCTTCCCTGTATTCCCTCTCCCATCCCTATCCTCAAGTTAAGCAGTTCAGTTTTTATATAATGCATATCATAAAAAAATACTCAGCACCTCTGGTCATAAAGGAAATGCAAATCAAAGCAACACTGAGTTTCTACCTCACCCCTGTTAGCATGGCCACTATCAAGAAAAGCATTAAATGCTGGCGAGGATGACACCAAAGGGAACTCTAATACACTGTTGATGGAATGTAAGCTTATTTACTCACTCTGGAAAATAGTATGGAGGTTCCTTGAAAAGCTAAACATAGAAATTCCCCGTGACCCAGCAATTCCACTCCTGGGCATTTATCCAATAAATCACAAACAGGGTTACAGTAAAGCTACCAGCACAACCATGTTCATTGCAACAATATTTACTATGGCCAAGATATGGAATCAGCTCACAAGGACCTGAATAAACTAATGGATCAAGAAAATGTGTCCTATGTGCACAACAGATTTCACTCATCCATTAAAAAGAATGATATTGTACCATTCGTGCATAAGGAAATGGAAAATCTCGGAAAAATTATATTAAGTCAGACCCAGAGAAACAAAGCCTGCATATTTCTCCTCATTAGTGGTAGCTAGAATTGCTCATAAACACTTGGTGATATGCAAGTGGTTACAAATGTATTAACTCAAGTATGGTAGACTCTAGGGAAAAGTTGAATAATTTAATTACTTAGAAGGACAAAGTCAAAGTCCAACAAAATAAGCACCAGGAAAGGTGGACTTGCAAAGTGGGTGTGGGGTCAAGAGGAAAGGGATAGATGAATGAAGGGGAGAAGATGGAAAAACACAGTAAAAACTTCATTGAATATACTACAAAATTAAGAAAAGTAAAAGAAGGGGTGGATTGAAGGGGAGCAAGAATGTTTAAAGGGGTGACACTGATCAAAGTGCATTATGTTCATAAACTGATTTGTTAAATGGCCACTCCTTTGCAGAACTTTTTTTTTTTTGATTGGTTGTGGGGCTTGAACTCTGGGCCTGGGCGCTGTCCCTCAGCTCTTCAGCTCAAGGCTGGCGCTTTATTGGTTTCACATCTCAGCCTCCTGAGTAGCTAGGATTCTAGCCACCAGTGCCCCTCATGCGCAACTATTTAAATATAATTCTTTAAAAAAGAATCTTAATGTAATGTCCTCTATGGGCCTTGCTATTTCTGTGATAGTTTATTTGGATACATGTTGCAAATCTCACAATGTATGTGTGTGTGTGTGTGCACGCGCGCGTGCACTTTTGCTTTAAAATGTTGCTTTTTCTCAGAGAGCACCCTCCCAGCGATCTGCTTTCTTTTGTCTTGCTATAGATTTGTCTAAAATAAGAACAATAGGGTCTTAGGTTTCATTATTTTTAACGTATAGTTTTTTATGGCATCTAGTTTTCCTGTGAATCTGCCAACAAACCATTTTTAAACACAAGTGAATTGTTACAAAGAAACATCAAAATTCAGAGTTAAAAGGAGAATTAGAATAATTCAACTACGAGAAACAGACCCATTTTGGTCTATAACCATTACTGTCCAAAGGAGGTAGGTCTCATCTTTGGAGAGGTTTGCTACATATTTTCTTATCAGACTAGAAGGCTGGCCACATCTATTTTTTCCCCTCTTGGGAATTGTTCTAAATCGATCTAAATCTAATATCTCTTTGCTTAAACTAGGCCTTTCCCCTTTTCCGAATCCAGGTTGGATCAATGTATTTTATATTTTCCTTAGTGGGCAGTCTTACATGAAGAAAAACATCACAGATTTAGAACAAAGAAGTTTATCCTTGAAATAATGAACAGTGCGGATTCTGGAATATGGATGTGCATTTTATTGCATCCCTATCAGCGTAAAATGAATGCTGGTGGTGGTGATGAGTACAATAGGGAGAGAAGACTACGTCATTATCACGAGAAATTCCCAAACCTCGCTAATGAGCACAGAAGGATTTTAATGCAAGCCCTGGCTCCCTGGTTACCATCGTAGCTTTGATCTCCCTGCTTCCTGCAAACAGTCTGCAGTACCCTGTGATAGGATTTCCCAATCAAGAATGCAGCTGTCCACTTCTTAAATCCCTCCATCTCAGAGTGTCTGCTTTGGTATGTCCTCAGGTTCTGCAATCAAATTTGAGCTTTCAAATGTCAGTCTACACTCAGGGTTCCATGGAGAGAAAAGAATCCTGCTTTAAAACCTACTTCAGATGCCCATGTCATCAAAATGGCAGTCCCTGCATCAAACCCAAGGTGGGGTGCTGTGCTTGGTGACTTTCTTTGTGTTTTTCTAGGGAGAGCCACAGGTTGTCGGGGCAGCAGCGGGCAGAGCCAGCTGGACAAGCCCGCGCAGCGACTCCACCGCAGGCACCGGGCGCGCGCGCTCGCCCGAGGTGGGAGAGCCAGGAGGGAGGGCGGGAGGAGCGGGGAGGGGAGAGGAAGCGGGGAGGGAAGCGGGGAGCGGAAAGGGACGGGGAGGGGGGGGGATCGCCCCGTTTCCACAGCGACCTGGCTTACGTAAGGCGCCTCGCGTGGGCTGGGGCTCCGGCCGCGCGCGCATCGCCTGCCCCGCCCCCGCCTGGCGCAGCTGCGGCTCGGTGCGGTCGCAGCTGCGCGCGGTCAGCGGTCCACGTCGCGCAGCCTACCGGGCGGGGCCTGACGCCCGCCCCTGCCTCGCCCCCGCGCGTGGTCGCCGCGACCCGGAGCTCGCCGCCCCCAGACGCCGACAGCCGGAGGCGAAGGCGGCGGCCGCGCTCCTGCTGCCGAGCACCGTGTCCTCTCGCCAGCTCCCCGCCGGGGCCCGCGTCATCATGAGCCCCGAACCGGTGCCGCCGCCGCCTCCGCCACCACCACCACCGCCGCCGGCTCAGGCTCAGGCTCAGGCCTCGGCCCCGGCCCCGGCCCCGGCCCCGGCCCCGATCCCGGTCGCGATCCCAATTCCGGCTTCGCCTCACGTTCTGGTTCCGTCTCCGTCTCCGGCTCCGGCTCCGACTCCATCTCCCCAGTGTTTCCGCTGCAGCTACGGAGAGCCGTTCGTCCGGCGGCTACAGAAGGGCAATGAGGCCTTCCGCGCCGGGCAATATGAAATGGCAGCCGAGCATTTCCGCTCCTTGCTGGCCGGCTTGCCCAAGCCCGACCGCGGCCTGTGCCTGCGGCTGGGGGACACGCTGGCCCGCGCCGGCCGCCTCCCCGAGGCCCTGG